TGGCTGGGGAATTCTGGGAGTTGAGGTCCACACATCTTCAAGTGGCCAAGGTTGAGAAACCCTGCATTACAAACACATTACATCTGAGCCAGCTCAACATGTTGTGAGAACGAAGCTATGAGAGTCTTTGGTACAGGGTTTCTCAACCTTGGCCACTTGAGGGGGTTTGGACTTCAACTCCCAGAATTCATGCTGGCTGGGGGATTCTGGGAGTTGGAGTCCACACATCTTAAAGTTGCTGAGGCTGAAAAACCCTGCTTTAGAGAAAAGCCTAAATTGCTCCCCACCCACCCAAAAACGGGGGGGGGGAGAGAAAACCATACGCACTGGTGCTCTTCCTTTCATTTTGCTGTTCTTCAGCCCTCCACCTTAAGTGAATCCCATCCTCCACCTCCCGCCCCCACCATTCACTGCCATAGCATAATACAGGTCCGGAGATAGGGTCCAAATAAAAAGAGATTTTATTCAGATAATGGTGACATTTTCGTTTGGTGGAATTCATACATCTATTGCAGCTTTTCCAGAGAAACAACAGGAAGTACAAAAGGGAGAGGAGGGGGGGAAATCCATATGTGCTTAAACGTCTCTCGTTTATTTGCATCACAGGAGGTAGTCCGTGCTACCATGTTGTGTGTCCGAAACCTCATTCCAGGAAATTGCAAGGACTGACTTATTTTTCAGAATGAAAAAATTACAGAAGTCCCGACTTAATTGTTTTAAATAATGAGCACTGGACATTTTAAAACTTTTTATTTATTTAATTACACATAAATAAATATATACAGATTTCATAACCGTTCCGTTTGGCCTCTCCTTCAAGGGCTATTCCTGTGCTTCAAATCAATTATTAATTTATTATTTCCATCATTTAATATTAATATGATTATTGTGAATGTTTCAGAACTTGGGTGGGGAGACTTGATTGAACAAATTCACTCATCTTGGGTCCAGAGAAGCTGAAACGACACTTTGCTAGAATAGAGGACATTGAATAGCAGGAATTTTGTCCTGTTTAGTGTTGGGGTGGGGACTGCCAAGATGGCTTTATCAGCACCTCCACCATGGCATTTAACTGGACCAAAATGTGTAAACAAAGTTGTAGGACATTTTCCAAGACTATATCACTGGGAAGTTTCCTTAGCCATGAGACTGTAGCAAAGGAAAGCCATGTGAAACTTTTATGACTGGTGTTTTGTAAGAACATTATTAAGAGAAGTGCTGATGGAGCTTCCCTCTCTGGTGCAGATCTCCGGGCCTGTCGCATGAGTAAAAAAAATCCAGTAGTCTTTGACTCTAAGCAGGCCTTGATTCAGAAAAGATCTCCTCTAGATACTACCTGAAGACCTCTTTGTCTTGGTTTGCTCCTTTGCAATGCTGTCTGGAACCTCTCAACCTTTTATGAGCATGGACGTTCCAAAGAAACACAAAAATCATCAAAATAATTGCACATGTAACCAGGCTTCCAGTCTCTCCTATGGAAATTCAGACATGTCAACTCAAACCATCCACAGCTCTCATTTTTTCTCCAATCGTGGTGAGGTTTGCTCAGCCTTTTCTTCTTCAATCTCCTCTTTTCATTGACTTGGTTTCAGAAATGCATCCGTCACAGTTTGGAAAACCTGGCAGGAGAGAGGAGGCTTCATAATCTCTCCCCCCACCCCAGCCCCCCAACACTGATAAGAGTGTTGAAGGACCTTCCTGTCTCTCACATCCTGGAAATGGGAAGGAACCCTCCGATGGGGAGACGTGATGGGTCACTGTCTGCAGAAGAGGTCATTTCCGATGCTTAACATCCTTTTCTGAGGTTTTGGAGTCACCAACTGGGTGACCGTTGCCTGTGCTGTTCATGAACATTTTGTCAAGCCCTTTGAGGGACTCCACCAAGTAGTTCTGGAATGCTGTGAGAGCCGCACAGATCGCCGGCCCTCCAAAACCATGGGTTATTAAACTGAAGTGCGTCAAGCAGCTTTGGACTCCCGGTTCCAAGATGAGTGATGGGCGGCTGTTTCCCAGGGGTGAGCGATCTTGAGCCATCAGATCAGCAAACTCTTTGCAGATTTGCCTGGAGTAAGAAAAAGGGAAACAGGATTTTTAAGGGGAGGGAAAGAGCATGTGTAATACCACATCTGCCAGTGTGCACATTTTGACACCCACCAACTACTGGTACTCCTGCAGCCCCCCAAGTTTAACCCCCTTCCTTTTCAAAGGAGCTACAGACTCTTTGCAAAGATTTTCTGTACTTTTAATGATCAGTGGATGACCTTTGCAATGGAGAAGCCTGTATATTTATAATTTGCCACCTGCAACTAGTGGTACCCTTCCATGACATTTTACCAATTGCTTGAATAGTTTGCACCAAGAGAGAAACCACAGACAAACTTTGGAACAGCCTTCACTACCATACAGCTTTGGGGACACCAAGTGAATTGTTCAAATAATCCACTAAGCGTATTTGTGGGTGGCTATCCCAGCCATCTCCCTGTTCTTACCTGGCGATCTCCAGATGCGTTGGACTACCTGCTTCTAACTCCCAACAGCTGGGACAGCCAAGAATTCTGGGACAGCACCAGGTTGGAAAAGGTTGCTGCATACAGTGCCATGAAGGCAGGTGGAGAGTGAAGCTTCATGGCACTGGTGGGGTTTTTTGGTGCCTTCTGTGTTGACTCCTGGCAACTGCCTGGACAAGGCCCTGCGGTTTTCTTGGCAAAATTTTGGAAGTGGTTTGCCATTGCCTCCTTTCTAGGGCTGAGGGAGAGTGACTGGCCCAAGGTCACCCAACTGCCTTTGTTCCTAAAGTGGGACTAGAACTCACAGTCTCCGGGCTTCTGGTCCAGCACTATCACCACCACACCAAACTGGCTCTCATTGCCTTCAAGTCATAAACAAGTCTCTGCAGTTTTCTTGGCAAGATTTCGCAAGTGGTTGGCCCTTGCCTTCTTCCTAGAGCTGAGAGGGAGTGACTGATCCAAGGTCACCCAGTTGGCTTTGTGCCCAAGGTGGGACTAGAACTCAGGGTCTCCCAGTCTCTAGCCTGGTGCCTTCACCACTGCACCAAACGGGCTCCTCCACCCATTCTTGGTAGTCAACACAAAATATAAATGCTCTTTGTCCAGGAGATTCAGCAGAATCCAGTGACTTCAGTTCTTCCTGGTTTCCCAGGACATATTCTTTGAGCAAGAACTAACCAGCATGTCTGTATTTTATTATTAGTTTTTTATGGAATTTTGGTTTTAGCAAAGCAAGTCAGCAGCTCTGTCCCATTTATGGCCCTGAAGTGGGAATGGCCAAAATGTTTCTTTAGTTTTTTAGTTGTTGAGGGTCAAGGCATCTGCTGAACCCATTTTTAAACTCCCTTGAAACTGAGTTTGTAGAATGCACCAAACCACCGAAAAACTAACCAAATTTAGTACTAACCAAGTTTAGCAGATGACGTGGATGAAATGCTACTTTTTACATTGACTTGGTGAGATGTTTTGTGGGAACACAGCTAGTTTGTATGCACATGGGTAGGGGCATCGCAGGGAGGTCAAAAAAGTCAAGATGACAGCCACACTTGTGCGATCAAAGCCCTGTTCCTTTTAAACATTTTTGGGATAGTGCTTTGATCACACAGTGGCAGTTGCCATTTTGATTTTTTTGACCCCTCCCCTGTGTCCTGAGGATGCCCCTCTGCATGTGTACATTATCCTTCAAGTTGACATTGATGTTAGTTTGTCTTCCAACGCAAAGGGTCATCCCAGGTAGGATCCTATTACTCACTTAGTCGCTAGGAGCATGTTTTTCCGGGTGTGGAGCTCGCTGGGGTCCGAGTGTTGGCGGCAGAGGTATTCAGCTGCAGCCTTGGCCGGGAACTCTGTTTCGCAGACGTAACCAAAATCTCGAGCGAGATGAACAGCCTCCCCTGGAAAATGAGAGCACCCATAAGAAGGAAAATCGAACTGTGATGGTACTACTGTCTGGCTTACAGCCCTAGCAAAGGAGATCTTCTGGATCCGAAGGAGGCTGACTCCGCTGATGACGTGGGATGGGACTGCAGTCCTAACTCAGCCATCCATCACCATTATCCCTGATTTTTAAGCAGCGACCAAAAAAGTCTGCAATCCTATTGACTTACTTTGGAATCAGCTCCACTGAATTCCATGGAACCGACTTTTGGACAAACCTGTCTGGGTGTATCTGGAAAGCAGGGCACTCAAAGACATAACCATGTTCTGCATTTAAACCAATTAGGTCAGGGTTTCTCAACCTAGGCTGAGAAACACTGGATTAGCTCAATTGTACAGCATCAGGATCTCAGGATTCAAGGGTGAGATCAATCGAGGCTTAGTAAATTGCCACTACGTCATCTCGCTGCAACACTCAGCCCAGTGGGATCCAGAGGGGTTGGATGAGCGTCTGCAGGAAAAGGAGCTCTTGTCATAATAACAAGAGCGTGTCATGATGTCACAATGCAAGCACGAAAAGAGCGGGGTTTACAACACAACTCACATTTTGTCATGTGCCCTCCATCTGTGGATGTCCATGTGGCCACAGTGACTGGGAGCCACAGTGACAATATGTTTCAAAGGTGCCTGGTTGAGGAAACCTGTCTTCTCCTTAGTAGAAACAATGATCTTAATATTTCAATAGCATATGACAGTGTTAATGCTGGCTGGGGAATTCTGGGAGTGGAAGTCCACACATCTTAAAGTGGCCAAGGTTGAGAAACACTGTCATGTACCTTATCAGCAAAACCAATTCTCAGATTTCCCATCCTTTGTGGTGAGAACTAGACTGGATTACAGTAGCTTACATTTGCCTTTTTACAGTCATTTCACACCACGGATTGGTGTCATCAAAGATCACGTTCACAGGGGTGGGGGGAGATCACCCAACCCACTTCATCTCAAAAAAGCTAACCGAGGTTTACACTCACGCAGCAAATACAGCTGCTGTGGCTTTAGCCAACCTAGTTAAATGTAGAAACCAATAACGTTGTTTAGTCTAGGAGATTATCGTGTTTTGGTTTTTTAAATAGGTTTTTTAACTGGTTTTTAATGGTTGTGTTTGAGTTTCGTTGATTGTTTAGCTTTGTGTTTTAATTGTGTACGCTGCCCAGTGTCACATGTGATGATATAAATTTGATAGACAGACAGACAGACAGACAGACAGACAGACAGATAGATTGCTACCAAACTCCGTGTCAATTTTTTTTGCCACAGACTGACACAGTTTTCCTTGCCATCTTTG